AACACATGGAAATTAAATAACACCCTCCTGAACAACCGATGGGTCACAGATGAAATGAAAGAAAAAATTAAATGGTACTTTTGGGACACAATGAAAGCAGCCTTAAAAGGGAAATTTATAGCAGTAAATCCTCACATCAGGAAAACAGAACAACCTCAAATAAAAAACCTTATGTTGAACCTCAAACATCTAGAAAAGAACAAGTAAGCCCAAAGCTCATACAAGGGAGGAAATTATAAAGATCAAAGCAGAAGTTAATGCAATGGAGACTAAGAAAACAATACAAAGAATCAATGAATCAAAGAGTTGTTTCTGTTTTTAAAAATTAATTTTATTGGTACATTTTAGGTATACAATATAATGACATTCATCATTGGAGATTTGTACCTTTACATAATATATCTTAATTCTTTTTTTTTCCCCATTCCCCTGCCCTCCCTACAACCTTTCCACCCATCTCTGTTTACAAAGACTTTGTTTTCATTTTCTCATTTTCTCATGTTAATTCAACTTCCCTCTTTCCTTTCTCCTACCCCTCCCATGTCTCCTTCCCCTTTGCCCTTTTTCTATTTCACATTATCTATTATACATTTTGATCATTATTTGTACTTTCAATTTCTTACACCACAGAAACTATTTGGTATTTACATGTGTGTCCTATTTATTTCACTTAAGACTGTCACCTCAGTGTGCACCCATTTAGCTATGTCTCTAGTTTTTCATTTTTTATGGCTGAGTAGTACTCCATTTTATAAACAAAACTACATTTTCTTTATCCAGTCTCCAGTTGGTGGGCAATTGGGCTGTTTCCATGTTTTAGCTATTACAAACTGTGTCTCTATGAACGTGGGTGCACATATATTGCTGTGGTATGATTCTTTTAATTCTTTTGGGAAGATCCCCAGCAGGGAAATAGCTGGATAAAATGGTACCTCAAGTCCTAGTTTTTGAGGTGTCTCCATACTGATTTCCACAGTGGTTGCACCAGTCTACACTCCCACCAGCAGTGAAGCAGGGATGCCCTTTCCCCACAACCCCACCAGCATTTGTTATTGGTTGATTTCATGATAGCAGCCATTCTTTCTGGGGTGAAGTGGCATCTCAGCATCGTTTTCATTTGCATTTCTTGAATGACCAGTGATGTTGAACATTTTTTCATGTGCTTATTTGGTATTTCTACTTTTTTGAGACTGAGAAATGTCTGTTCATTTCAGATGCCCATTTTTGGGTTGGGTCTTTAAATTTGAGAGGTCTGATTTTTTAAAGTTCTTTATATATTCTAGATACTAGCCCTTTGCCTGAGAAACAGCCGGCAAAATTTTTTCCCACATTGTTGGTTGTCTCTTCACACTGTTGGGGGTTTCTCTTGCTGTACAGAAGTCTTTTAATAAGATGAGATCCTACTTGCTGATTCTTTGTGCTAGTTCACATGCAACTGGGATTTTGTTCATGAAATCTTTTCCTATGCCAATGTCTTCAAGAGTTCTACCTAACATCTCCTCCAGACTGTTTAGTTTTTCTGTTTTAATATTTAGATCTTTAATCCATTTCAATTTTAGTTTAGTACTCAGTGAGAGACATAGGTCTAGCTTTAGTTGTTGGCAAGTTGAAACCCAATTTTTCCAGCACCATTTATTAAAGAGGCTATCTTTCCCCCCAGTGAGGTTGTTTGGCTTCTTTGTCAAAGATGAGGTGTCTAAGTGTATCTGGCCTTGTTTCTGCATCTTCTAATCTGTTCCACTGGTCCTCAGGTCTGTATCTTTGCCAGTACCACGCTGTTTTATCACAATAGCTTTGTAGTATAGTTTCAAGTTGGGATTGTGATTTCCCCTGCTTTGTCTTTATTGCCTAGAATTGCTTTTGCTATTCAGGATCTCTTCTTGTACCAAGTGAATTTTTCAGGTTTTTTTTTGTCAAGATCCATGAAGTATGCTGCTGGAATTTCAATTGGGATTGCACTGAATCTATATAGCAGTTTTGGAAGTATGGCCATTTTCACTATGTTGATTCTTCCTACCCAGGAGCAAGAGATGTCTGTCCATTTTCTGATATCGTCTTTGATCTCTTTTTTCAGAGTGCTATAGTTTTCAGAGTAGAGGTCTTTGATTTCTTTCATTAAGTTGATTCCCAGGTATTTCAATTTTTTGGGTGCTATTGTGAAAGCAATTGTTTGGCCCATTTCTCCCTCAGTGAGTCTGTTGTTCATATACAGGAAAGTTATTGATTTTTGTGTGTTTACCTTGTATCCAGCTACTCTACTAAATTTGGCTAGTAAGTCTAGGAGACTTTTGGTGGAGTTCTTGGGGACTTCTGTATCGAGTTTCTTGTCATCTGCTGATAATGACAATTTGACTTCTTCATTTCTTATCTTTATTTCTTTCATTTCTTTCTCTTGTCTAATTGCTGTGGCTAATGTTTCCA